TCCTTCCTCTCCTTCTCTTTTGTTCCCCTTCCCATTTGAACATGTCCTTTGCATTTCCCAACAACGATTATATACTTTAGTCCTTATTTAACCTTTCTGTTTTGCACCAGAGAAACCACGCAATATTTGAACATGTGTGTCCAATTTGTTTCACTTAAGAATATATTTTCAAGGTGCATTCATTAACCTAGAAATGTCTCAAGCTTATCCTTCTTTATGGCAGGATATAAATCCACTGTATAAAAAGACAATATCTTCTTATCTATTTGTCAGTTGGTGGATATTCGGGCTGTTCAGATGCTGATAAGATTCTTTCCCCAACGTTTTGTTTTTAAAAAGTTTCTTGGCCCATCTGCTTTGTATTATTTTTCTTAGAAAACAATCAATACAATCAGGTCAGTATCCAACTTAATAAAGTTTTCTTCCATTAGGTCTTTGATTAATGATTCCATACCAATTAATCTGCTTTCATTTTCAGAAACACCATCATCCTTTGGTTTACTTTCTGTTCACTTTTTACATCTACCAACTTCTCTCATTATTTTCTGTATGTTCTAAGAGAAACATTCAACTTTATATCACTTATCATGAATTAAATTTCCCTTTGTGAAAATTTTGTTTCATGACTGCTTTTTAAAATGTGCTTAGAGATAGGGCCACAGCCCCCAAAGGCCTCAGCCAAATCCCCCATCACCGTGGACTAGATTGAGCCACTCATCCCATGGACCAGATGGAGCCAAGCCATTTGCCACCAACCAACTCCATATCTGTGGATTCTATACCTGCTTGTACCACTCACCAACTCCAAGGTGACTGCATTTTGTTTCCCCTTACACAGAACAATATTGACACTGACTAATCTGATCATGGACAAAGTCAGCACCCAGAAGTAGAAAAAACGGTATCATAGCAAGCTGCTGTCCATCTCCAACCATCTACCAAATCCAACCTGGTTCTACATTTTGCTTTCCCTTGGAACTAGGCACCAGACAGGTGGACGAACTGACCAACTTGATCCAGGATGAGGGAGACAAGATAACACCAGAGTGCTAGCAGGCTCGGGGAGAAGGTATGGACCTGGCCAGCTGCTTCAGGGATTCCAGTGTTATGCTCCCAAAATGACTGGGTGAGAGACAACCATGGCAACAGTGTGGATTAGACATAGACCTCCTGAGAAGTTTAAGCTCAGGCCAGGAAGGGCACGGGGCCTGCCTTCAAGAGTGAGAAACCTGGCCCAGCAAGTGTTGACATTAAGTACAACAGTCTGCTTGAACCCCCACCCTGTGACCCACATCCATCAGAGGCCACAGGGATGATTGCCTTTCCCATTTGCTAACATGAGCAAGGATAATCTCAGCTTGGATGGTTACCACAGTATGGAGTGAATGTCCATAGGAGCATCTGGCTCTGGGAGGGCACCTCACAAACCCACAGGCCCAAAAGCTAGGCAGAGAAAATTGTCCCTTGCTGTATTCTAAGACTGTGGATCCTACAAAGAAGCCACTTTTTTACTCAATCTTATAAAATATTTTTGTATTTTATTATCTCTCATTTTCCTCATTTTTCTTGGGGGGAGGCACTTCTCCCCTTTATTTCTTCCTCTTTTTTCTTTTATCCTTTTACATATTTTCTTTTTCTTCTTTTTCTTTTATTTCTCTACTTTGATCTCTGTTTTTCTTTTTTCTTCTTTTTCTTATTTATTCTTTTCTGTGAATGTCTTCTAATATCATTAATTTCCTTTTATTTATCAATAAGACAACTTATCTAACTTTACTCTCCTCCATCTCACTTTCAAGATTAATTTGGCAAAGTTTACTATTTTCATTCTTCTATCTTTACTAGTATAATTATTAAGTTTTAAGAATGTTTAGGTAGTTAGCTAACCCTATGCTATTACTGTTGAGTATTATTCTATTGCTAATGGACATAAAGTTATTCCATTTAGCAGATATTTACTGTAGGATAGTATTTGGTTTCTCTTAGTGTTTATACTATAATTATAGATTTCTTTTCAGCAGTTAAAGGTGGTACACTATTGTTTCCTAGAGTACATTAATATCCAGTTTGTTTGATGCTGTTGTTGTTGCTAATTTTATTGCTATAAGTAAGATAACACAGTTGTTGCTATTAACTTATTTTCTCTAGATGCCAACATATGGATTGCATTTGTGTCATTAGCACTACTGCAGCCCATTGCTGGTGAACTAGGCACTGTGCTAAGTACACTATAGCTGCCCCTCTCAAATAAACACAAGTGGCTGGATCCTGGAACAGACGAAAGAGCCAATAGTTAGGCATGCTCAGTAAATATCACTGAAAAGCAGACATTAACTAAAGAGGTCTCCATACTAGCAACAAAGCTTTCCACTATAATAAATATGTAAGCATCAGCACAACAAAAAATATATATACAGAAACATAACAAGACTGGGCAACAAAATGCCTCCAAAAACTTCCAACTCCCCTAAAATTGATCCATGGGCCAGTGAAGGGGAGAAAATCCAAAGATACAAAGCCAAATATCTTTAAACAATAACAGATAAGATAACAAAAAAGAGCAATAAGGCACTTGGTGAGCTAAAAGAAGATGTAACTAAAGAGATAATGAGCCTAATAAACAAAAAAATCATTGAGTCTACAGAAAACACTAATAAAAAGCTAACTGGGCTTAATAAAATAATACAAAACATTAATAACTAGCATGAAACTAGAATCCATAAAAAGTACTAAACACAAATTCATAACATTAAAGATGCCATCAAAAGTATGCAGTAGACATTACCACTGTGAGGATAGAGTGTCAGAACTAGAAGACAGACCTACTGTCTGTGACCAGTTAATAAGAGATACCTTTAAAACAACAAGAGAACATAAAGCGTTGGATCCAACATCTGCTAAATGATGCAAAGACTAATCTAAGAGTAACTGGAATTAAAGAAAAATCAGAAGACAGCATATAGGATATGAAAAACAAGGTTACTAAAATAATAACAGGATAATTTTCAAATATGAGGACACAATTTAACGTTCTGATAAGTGAATGATACAAAATAATAAACATAATCAAAAAGAGCCTCTTCACAAGATACACATCATAGACAAAATCCCACAAGTCCGAGAAAGAATAGACTCTTAAAAGTGGTTAGAGAAAAGCAATGAATCACTTACAAAGACAGAACCATTAGAATTACAGCAGACTTCTCAACACAATTTAAAATCCAGGAGAGCTTGGAGTGAAGTGTTTCAAGCCCTAAAAGAACACTTCCAACCCGGACTGATACATCCTACAAAACGACCTTTTAAAATTAATGGAGAAATAAGATATTGCAGTGATAAAGGCCACTGAATGAAATTCAGAACCACTAAACAAGCACTTGCTTGATCAATTTTTTATGCCTATATCTTGTAATATGAGCAACTACTTTGAAAATAGCAGTATGCAATGTACCAACCATTGTTGCTCTACTACAATCTTGTTTTAAAATTTTATACCATTGTTTTTATTGTTTATTTTTCTTTTCTTTAAAATAAAAAAGTCTGTGAAGTTATAAATTAAATATTAATTTATGTTTATTAATTAACATTAATTTGAACTTATAAATTAAACATTAATGTATAAATTAAATATTAATGTATAAGTTAGTGACAATATCTAAGTAGATGATGTGCATTTTGTGAGTGTATTTTCCTATATTTATAAATAGGTTTGTGATTATTTTGATTGAGTAAAAAGAAAATGGATTTGAGAAAGCAGGAATATAACATGAATATTGTAGATGAAGAATATATTTGGAGTTTACATTCAACTGTAAAGCAAGGAAATTCAAAGGCAATTGCACAACTTTCTCAGCCTATTGCCCCAGAATCTCTGTAGACTGAATGATTTTTTAAATGCCATTCATGTAAAAGAAGTAAATAGCAATTAGTGTTGAAGCAACATATTCTGGCTTGCCCCAGCTCAAGGGAAAAACTGAGCAAGAGTCTGAGTGAAGGGAATGCTCTAGCTGATGTATAAACTTATAAGGAGGATTTGGGTATAAATAGAGTAAATAAAACATTGAATCTGTGAACTAGACAGCTATTGGGTTCTATACATTCATCATTCTCTTACTAAAATATCTGTAATTATAAAGGAAGGAATTGTTTTTGAATCTAAATTACCAGATTTGTTCTACTTGTCAACATTGCTGGATGAAGGAAGACTTGGACTAACTAGTAGAGAGGTTCGTTCTTCTGATGCTTTGGTTGGTTTTCTAGCAGCTAGAGTAGTCTGCTGACATAAATGCCCTTTCTGCCTTGGCTGCTATGTTGTAGCACCAATTTTTTGTTATTTTAAAGAGAAAAAAACAAAAACAACACAACACAAAAACTATAAAAATGATACAGAATTTCAAAATGAGATGATAGGAAATCAACAATGGTTGTTGTATTACTTATTGTTATCTTCAAAGCAGTTGCTCCAATTTTCAGATATAGGTATGTAAGATTGATCAAACAATTAAACATTAACTGTTCCTTTCAATAAACTAATAGAAATTAGTAATACAATTATCTTAGCTATCTTGTATATATATACACATATTTTTTGCTTTCCTTCTTTCTTTCTTTTCTCCTTTCACTCATCCCAGTTGTTCTTTCCTATTGAGCAGTTTCTTTCCCTTTCACAATATCTATTGTACCTTTCAGCACAATTTGTCATAGCAAAATCTTGGAAACAACCCAAATGCCCATCAACTGAGGAGTGGATAAAAAAGATGTGATATATTTATACAATGGAGTATTATTCAGCTATAAAGAAGATAAACTCAAGGCTTTAATAGATAAATGGGAGCAAACTAGAGACCATACACATAAGTGAAATAAATCAGACCTGCATGTGTAAACACCATATTGTCTCCTGAAAGTGTAAATAAAATCTGAAATGTAGCCCCAATCTTACTGGTTCAAGAAAAGTGAAGTGTCAAGAATTTCTTTTTGCCTCAAAATGCCTCACACAACCAATAAAAAATTGTTTTATTCCATAAATGAGCTATAATAATGAGAAGGCTAAGTGAAGAATGTGGAATCTCTCTCTCAAGCACAGTGGGGTAGCAGAAGAGGGCAATATCAAATCAGGTAAAATTAACCCACGTATTCTTGTGAAACCTGCTGTAACAGCCTTACCCAGTCCAGTGGCAGCTGAAAGAAGGACAGTCATATGTCCAAGTCAGAAAATTGAATCACAAGACCAAAATTCATGCTGAAGAAATAAGTGAGTGATTTCTTGATTTGAGATATGCAAGGGGTCAGTCCAGAAATCTTAGCTAAAGCAAAGATCATAAACTCAGATTGCTCTATCAGAGAATAGAACTGGAGGACCCAGGAATCTGATCTTTGAGGAGTCTAGCTTTTAGAAGCCCAGAGTTTGATGAAGCCAACACCATTCCTGAAAAGGGTCTCCACATGCATTGAGGCCCAGAATTGTTCTCACTATGTGGACAGGCATACAGCCTTTGGCAGAACAAATGGGTTCATGCTGCCAAAGAGCAGGCAAAGAGGCATGGAGTCCCAGGCATCCACGATAGTGGCAGCATCCCCCTTTCCACTGAGCAGACTCACACTGGTAGTCAGGAGTAATCAATGGGGATTCTCTGAGGAAGGCAGTGAAGAAAAGGCAGGGGGAAATGTTAGGGAAGCACCTTAGAAGATTCAATATGGAAAACTGAGACAAACTTTTTAAAATCCACTTTTCACTTTGCTGGATCAGTGTCAAATTCACAATATTAATATCATTCTCTTGCTCCAGCTATGTGAGAAGCTGCATGGGGAATGTTAGATGGGGAATTCACACACCACTGGCTATCACTTAACTATACTCCTGAACCTGACCTTCTCCCAATGAAAAGTCCTCAGAGACATCTTGCATGTAATAGAAGAGACTAGAGGAAGAACAGCACACCTCACCTGGTGATGGTCATGATTATAACTGCCCTAGAAACAGAGCTGAGTCTCCCAAATACATTTCAAACCTTTTCTCTTGCAACCTATGTTAAAGTGGTTTCTGCATATGCCATCTCTCAGAAGCAGTCTTGTTGCCAGTCAGCTGGAGGTTCTTTTGCATAATTCTGAAATTAAGAATTGGCAAAGTGCATCTCTGCTAACAGTCCTGATGTCACCAAGGAACACCAGATAATGCTGGACACCAACAGCTGACACACCCAGTAACTGATCACTGCCTCTGCCAATTGCCACCATTTGGCACCAGTTTTTGCTGAACATCATAGGTCAACTCGGCTGAGTGCTGGTCTCTGCTACTGAGCTTACTGGCTGCTGGTCTCTAGGGTTCTTCATTGCAAATGACCCTCAGTGTTTATTGCTGTCTTTCTGTTTAACCAACCACTCTGTCCATACTACTCAGGGTAAGATTTACAAGACTCTTAGAGCCCACACTACCTGAGAATTAAATCATGAGCAGGTTGATAGGACCACAAAAGCAACTCTTTATTTTAAGAGGGCCTGTACTACAGCACAGGAGGGTATGTACACTGGAGGTAGCCCCCTAGACTAAACAGAGGAGTGTGTAGGGAGTGATGCTTACATAGCAAGTGTGGGCATGTGATTGGTCCAACTACAGACCTGTGATTGGTGCAGTGCTCCAGGACACCCTCAGCTGTTCAGGCAGAGATCCAGTGAGGGAGGAGGACTAAAACCAGAGAATCTTCTGGAAGGCTGGCTGTGAATGTAGAAGATATTAACAACGGGCCTAGATGCCCCATTCCCTGATTTTAGCCAAGCCAGGGTGCATCCTCCCTTCTTCAAAAAGGCAACAGTATGGTCTAAAATGGCAGGAGCTGGGAGGGGTCACCATGCTGATAGTCAAGCTGCACTCACACTGGAGTAGAGAATAGCTGTTAGATAGCCAAGTAAGACACCAGTAGATAGTTAAATAGGATACCACTAGATAGCTAAGTAGGACACCACTAGGTAGCCAGAGAGGACACCAAAACAAGCTGTCCCAGTCACTGAAGGAGGAAATTAGGGGAAGGGCATGACAGCCCCTAGCCAAGCCATGCCCCCTCCACTCCATGAGGAAAAATGGGAGAGCCAGATGCTTCTCAGTCTAATGATTTGAACTTTTAGTATTCCTTCACAAGGAGGAAGGTAACTGAAAGTTTAGGGTAGTAAAAGATAGAGAGGAAGTAAGGTGGATAGGGAGGAAGTGAGATCCTTTCAGAACTAACAGAGAAAGAAAAATCAACTTTGAGGTAAGAGAAAGATCAGGACAAACTCAGACTGATGGGTGAAGGAAAAGAGCAACCAGCTGGTAATAGAATACAGTCAACTTCAGATAGTAGCAGAAATGCAAGTGCTCATGCAATGCAAGGGGAAGACTGTGTCGCCATTTTCTTCCCACCGCAGTGTGCCCCTTTCAGGGACAGTAGACCCTGCCACAGAAAAGAATGGTTTGGGTTTTGTTGTGTTGGATGAAAAAGAGAAAAGGGTGGTTAGCATTAAACTCCACCCAAGACGGCAGTGACTTCTCCACACCAACAGCGCCACTGGCTGCAGCTGCCTGGGTGCCAACTTCATCCACCTCCACAAAGGCCTTGTGAATGGTTTTGGACAAGTACAGACTGGGACTTGGGGAGATTCCGGTAAGATCGGCCTTGGTTTCATCAAAGATATCAGTAACGCCCATGTCTTGTAGGACAGAATTGAGATCGTAGATGTCTTCTAAGGTGAACTGGGGGAAGGAGACGGCTACTTTTTCTTCTGACATGTTTTCTGAACTGCTCCAGGTCACTATTTTTTCATAGCTTATTTTTCTTTCAAGCTACGAGGGAAAGAAAGTAATATTTTGGTCAGATTAAAAAATCCTTCAGAAAACGTCCCAGTCACTTCAGACTACCTGAGTCCCTTTCAACAGTTAGCTACGTACAACCTTCAAAGTCGTTTGCTACAACTCAAAATACTGACTTCATTTTCAATTATTCCAAGCAAATCTATTTCCTCTCAGGAAGTTACAGGACAATTTGGGTTTCAGTGTGCCTTGGTGTTTGACGGTCTCATGTTCAAATACCAGAAAAGTTCAGTGAGATGAGCTATGGCCAGCCCTAACAATTTGAAGTTAAATTTCATCTTCAGTAGAATAACGATAACACAGTTAGGCTCTTGTAAGGATTCAACAAAATAATGTGTGCAAAGTACTTCAAATAGTGCTGTCACATATTTGGAATAGCGGTTGTTACTGTTATCATAATTACTGTGCAGGTATTTCTTTCACTTTCTTTAAATCTCTGACTTCTTACCTACTAGGACTATCAGTAACTGAGCCACCCCAGCCTTCATTAATTCCTGCCTTATAGTGTCAATATCTCTACTTCTATCAAAACAGAATGGGAGGGGGCTGGGGATTTAGCTCAGTGGCACAGCGCCTGCCTGGCAAGTGCAAGGTCATGAGTTCAATTCCCAGTACCAGAAAAAAAAACAAAAACAAACAAAAAAACAAAATGGGACTGAAGAGTCTTTCACTGCAGTCTGAGTAAGAGGCTAGAAGTCAGCATCTTTAGGTAAAAGGAAAAGCTGTTTAATTCACAGCAATTCTCAAATTACTCAACATCCATATTCCTTGATCTGGAAAAATGATTACAGATGGCTATCAATTTAAAGATAAAAATCATATTCCAATATTTTAACATTTATTCTTTAGTTTTAAACAAATAAATACACATAAAATATAATTTATATTCTTATATAATCATCAATATCTCTAATAGCTGGGAGAGCAACCTTTCACAGGGTTGTAGATGACAGTGTTGTCCTCCACAATCTCTGAGTAAACTTGGGTACAGACATAGACAAGGAGACTGACCTCCTGCAGGCCCTTCACATTATCTGCAGAGAGAGATGGCAGCAGGACGAACATGCTGAGGTTCCCCACGGTGTACCTCATTTCAAGGATCTGTGCCTGCAGCTCCTCGATGAAGCCGATTCTAAACAGGCCTTTCTGATTCATCATCTTCACACTCTTCTGTTCATTCTGCAGTAGACAAGACAGGAGGTGTCAGGCAGCCCTGGAAAGCTTACAAACTCCTACAGCCCTAAGTTTCCTGAGAACAAAGTCAAAAGGATCTGCCCCAGAATTCCCACACACACCAGGAACCCAGCCTAGGAAAGTCCTCTGTCCATGGATCAATTAGCCCTTACTTAGCCAACACTTATGCTTTTATCTTTTCATGTTTTTAACCAGTTCTTCAACTCCTACGACTACTTATTGGCTTTGGTGAGACTTTGTCTCACCAGTCTCAGCCTCATCAGCCAAAGCAAGACTTGCAAATTCTCTGTCTTCAATGCCTGCTACACCCCACCGCCACTGGCTTTAGCCCTGGTCCCTTAGATCTGGACAACCCCTCCACAGCACACATGGGAACCAGATTAAATGTTAATTGTCCCCATATTAATTAACAGCACCTGCTCCATAGGCTCCCTGCAGAAGCAAGGACACCACTCTGGGTACCTTAAACCTCACAATAACTTTCATTAATCTACCGACGAGTACATTCAGAGCCTGAGAGAAAATCTTGTCCCCAGTAATAAAGTTAACCAGCTAACTTTGGCTGGGATCCAATACCTGCTCTTTCCTCCCATTCTAAGTCTTGTGGCTCAGGACATGGATTTGGGGGGAAATGCAGATATGGACCTCAATAACTTTGCCATTTTTGTCCTCAAATCCTAAGTAGAAATGATACCCATTTCATAATGTCATTTTGAGGAACAAATGAAATAATGAAAAAATCCTCAGTGCACTGCCTAGCACCAAAATGCCCTATGTTCTTTAGGTACTGACTTTTTTAATCACAAAAGGTTCTTATTAAAACTGTAAGCTACAGCTTGGAGAAATAAGCCTTAGACTTCTGTCTACACACTACAAACCATTCATTATTAGTGGAAAATATCAATGGAAGACTTAGCAAACCACAGGCTCCAAGATAGTACCTCAGTTAGAAAGAAGGGTGCATCAACTGTATTTTTACAATCAAAATTCTTTTCCCATTTGGACTTGAAGTAGACAGCATTCACCAGCACCAGCACAGTTGCATCACTGATAGTGTCCTTGCTGAACAGTTCCTTGATTTTACCTAAACACAAAGTGCCAGAGAAAGTACCCAAGTGTTCATGTAAAAGGACTTTTCAATGCATTTTAACATCCCCAAGGTTGGAAAGTGCTTCCTTTAAAAATAAACCCAAGAAAATGAAACAACTCTTTGGTGTGAGTGGGGTGGAAGGTGAAGTAATTGTGAGAGTGATGGTGTGGGAAACTCCCTCACTCTGCCCTGGTGGAAGATCCAACTGACGGTACTGGAACTCAGAGATCTCTGACTCTCTACACCACTATGGTTGGAACTTCTTATCAGACTCTTAATATTATGGTTTATCTTTCAAATTATAGACCAACCACCTGACTATAATCTCCTGGAAAAAATAACAATGTTCTGTCTCGAGCTCTTCTGACATGTAAGCAAACATGGATACAATTCTGTGCACCATGACATGAAACCTACTTTGTAAGGACTTTCACATGCTTTCTTTCATTCCGCCCCACGTAAGTCATGATAAGTACACATAGTTACATGTTCTTAATGGAGTAATATACTGTAGGCCATGAGAGTTGATGTCAAACAGCCTAGAAGCAGCAAGGCTGGCTGGATCAGTGCTGGGCTCCCTCTTTCATCTCTTGGCCCAGTTTGGGGCTCTCTCTTTAATAACATAGCATTAAGAATGACTGGAAAGCCCCACACCATTGGGCAATAGTCTATTTCAGGATACACCCTTTTCCACCTCAAAATATCAGATCGCTAGTTACGTGAACACAGGCTGAGGTCTTAAGAAAACCAGATCCTTTTATCTCAAGAAAATCTGTTCTTAATTAAATCCCATAATAATACATTATGCTGACACCATATATACTTAAAATACCTTGGGAGAGATAATGCACAAAGGAGACACTAGATAATTATCATTTAGTCAGGATTTCTTTAGCGAACTACTTTCCTCCTGACCACTGATGGGAACCTTAAAGGAATGGAAATTCTATGGCATGTGGATAAAGGAAGGACAAATAATTTTGGAATATAAAGACTCCCCCTAAAGAAAGACCAGGAGTAAACTGGCCCTAAGTCAGAGTGAGGTGGGTAGGAGACAGCAAGGGGACGCCTCCAAAATTAAGAGAGGAGAAAAGAACATTGTACAAGGTACAAAAGCTGAATGAAAGCAGGTAAACTATGGTTTCCAGCCCGTAGGTCACAACAAATGCCTACAAATGCTTGGGTCCTACTCTTATTCTATGGCAGGAAAAGCAATGTCTCCCTTTCTTTCAGGTACTCCACACTTTTAATTGAAGGTAAACATTTTCTGGCTCACTGGCAATCAAAAATTGTGTCCAGCAACTTAACTTGGCATTAGGCTGCTAACTCTGAGGCCTGGAGGGAAGCATTTATCCCATTTTCCAAACCCATGCATACACTAGAGGAAAGGAGCGCTCTCTACACCAATCTGGAGCGGTAAGGGAGCTCGTTTCTCCTCTTCTTTCCCCAGAACCGCCAACAAGACCACAGACCACTTCCTCCAGGAAACATCGACCCAAGTGGCTTGAATTTTCAGTTTCACTTAGTCTGTGTTTTGTTTTGATGCAAACATCTTTTTTTTGTTAATTTTATTGGTACATTTTAGATATATATGATGATTACATTCATAATAAAGAATTTGTATCTTTGCATAATATATCTTGATTTTTTCTTTTTCCCAATCCACTACCCTATCTTCACCCATCTTCCCCTCTTTATTTACAAAACTTTAGTATCCATTTTTTTCCTTCTATTCTCCTTTTTCTCTATCCTTTCTTTCCTCCTCCCCCCTCCTTTGTTCCCCTTCTCATTTGAGCAATCCTATTTCCCAATATCTACTATACATTTTGGTCCTTATTTACCCTTTCAGTCTCTCATACCAGAGAAACAATGTGATGTTTAAACCTGTGTTTCTGATTTATTTCACTTAATTGCATGTTCTCAAGGTGCATTCATCTACCTAGAAATGCCTCAAATTTATTCTTCTTTATGGGAGAGTAGTACTCCATTGTATTTTTAAAAAAAAAAAAAAAACACATCTTCTTTTATACATTCATTGGCTGATGGGAATTTTAGCTGTTTCCAAATTTGATTGTTACTGTGTTGCTATAAAAATGGGTGCATATATATTGCTGTGGTATGATGCTTTTAATTCTTTCAGGAAGATACCAAGTGCAAATTAGTGTGGAGATTCTTCAAAACACTACAACTAGAGGTTCCATTTGACCCAACTAGTACAAATATCTTAAGAATGAAGAATCTCTTACCCTACCAAGTTAAACACAAACAAGATATAGGTATGTCATGAAGAATAATGTTATTCTAAAGCAGCACAATATGTACGCTTTTTTGGAAGAGCCATATAACTGAATTACATGAAAAAGAGAGGAGAGCAGGGCCCTGCTGCCGATGAATGCTCTGTGGTGGACACAGTGTGTTCCCGCACACAGTGGCCAGGAAATTGTGTTGAATGGACAGGGCTGCCAGTAAAAAGGCGGGAGCACCAGACTATATTTAAATGTGACTTGGAGGAAATGGCCACTTTAGGAAGCCCACGCTCTTACAGGCTGATATCACTTCATTTAGAAACTTTCATTCTGCTGGGAGCTGAGCAGGACTGCAAAAGGGGTTTTATATTAAAACATTATTCTCCATGTTGAACACACATGCTTTTGCTCATTAAACTCCTATGTATAGAGTGAAACATTGGTAAGAATGAAGATTTTATTATTTCCATGTTCTTATGAATAGTTAGAATTATTGAAATCTTAACTTTTCAATAACCCTTTAATTGCAGTGTTAACATTCTGCCAGTACTATGCTCAACTGAAACACACTTTACCTTTATTTATGTTGGCGGCATGGGGGCAATAACAAGAAACAGAAATAGTTCAACATATTAACTATTTGATGGTGTTCAAGAAGAGCTTTGAAAACAGTGCATACATGTGAACATCTGCTCCCAAAAGATTAGCAATCTGAACAGTTGGGATGACTAACTTTCTCTGAAATGGAAAAAAATACTAACTACAATGTGTTTGGTCTTTCTTACCTTGGCATTGACTTTCAACCCAGAAGTTAATCATCTGTCTAGATTTTTCAGTGTTTTTCTGGAAATCAATACTTTCAACCGTCGTGTGGTAGAACTGAATCACACCATCTAAGTACTCCTGTTTGGTGTAAATGGAAAATAGTACAACAAAGTCATATAAAGATGGAAACAGTTAAGAGTGACGCAGACACTAGAAGCCTAGAGAGAAACATACGCCTTGTCACCTAGCATTGCCGAAGCTGGTCTGTCAGCTGCTATCTACCCTTTGTCTTAATTAGCCAGAAATGATTCCATTGTTGTGGTGACAATAGGACACAAATGTTCATTTATAAGGTAGTCTCTAATTGCAGTGGCATAGCCTTCCCCACCAGTTATCTCTTTATTTTAACAATCCACTCCTAGAGACACCACTAGATAAATATCAAGGAACTTGAAGGACTGAGCTCTAAAATTCTTCTACTTTGAAAATTAAACCCATGCTTAATACTTGCAGAGTTGCTGTTTGGGCTGGTGAGGAATGTCATAAGTACACTGAGTGACAGGTGCACAGTAGTATGGATATAATTAATACCACTGACCTGTATATGTAAAATGCTGAAAACTTTGAGTTACATGCATTTTAGCATGCTTTAAATAAATGATGTAATATATGAAACTATTGATTTGTATACTTTTAATGAATACAAATCAATTTGTGTGCAATTTGAATTGCACGATTTAAGAATTTATATCTGTTTTCTTAAAAGCTTCATTCCCATTGCAGGAGAATACACTTATTTTGGTCAAGGTGAGCTGTGCCCCTCCCCTAACCATCCCAGCTCTAAAAGCTGTGACGCTTTTGCCACCAGTCTCCTCCTTCCTGTTTAGAGCTTGGTACCATGACTCCTTCTGGAGAACAACCTGAGGCACCCTTGCTCCAGGTGAAAACTGTTGGCCTCAGAGATAAGACCTGTAGCATTTGACAACCATGCAGTCTCCCACCACACCACTCCTTTTCTGAAAGGAGCAAGTTCCCCGGGGGTGCTGATTGTTTAATAAAACGAGCGAGTAGAGAAGTACTTTGAAGACAGCCCACAGGCAGAGGAGCTACACACTGCATCTTCCAGGCACCTTGCTTGGGAAAGGAATCAGGAGAATCCAATTACCAGCTCTGCTCATTTTCCAAAGGCAGCTAATCACATGACCGTTGGTTTAACCTTTCTATGCCACTTACAATGGACCCTACAGACTTGTGTTGGAAGAAAACACTACAGGAAGCCTGAAGGAGGCAGGTCCCAGACACCTCACCAGTCTGCGGCACTCTGTCTTGTCAAAGACGTGTGCTAGGCAGCATGCAGCCCCCCAGCTACTCGCTTCTTTGTAAGAGGTTTGCCCTGTGGTACCTTCAGTCATCAGCCACACGCAACTCACCTGACGAATTGGAAATTCCTGCTCACCATAAAGCCTGTTGGCCATACTCAGGGTGTCGAAGTCTTTGATCCTGTCTAATCTGGATAGAAGCTTCCCAAAGTAACAGCTAAGCAGTTCACTCTCATTGCTTGAGGATTCAGGCTGATAAAAGAAGAAAGAAAATGGGACGACCTTAACCCCGACTAACAGAAGAGCTAACCACCACTAAATGATGAGTATTTTTACAAAAAAAAAAGGAGAGCTGCTTAGTGACATGTCAGATCTCTGTGGGAGCTGGCATGAAGAGAGGAATGGAGAGTGACAAGTGACCCTGTGGGCAGATTGTAGTTTCCACAGCAGCATCCAGGTCATCCAGGAAAAACACATCTGAGACTCAGAAACACCAGTGCTATCTTAAAAACAGAAGACAGCCAACCATTTCTCCACACTCTGTGTAAACCAAGGTAGGAGTAACATGGAGAATATCTTTCCGCACCTGTCCAGCTCTAAAGGTTGTGTGTATCAGTACAGCTTTCTGCACAAAGGAAAACCACAAGAGGTGCAGGGACTCAGAATTCTTCAGTGACCCGGTCCCTTACTGCCCTGCATCTTCAACTAGGCTCCATTCTTGGGACCCGGGGCCTGTAGAAGCAAGGAAGTAATGAGGTTCTGATCTACATTTATCATGACTAGACACCAGGTCACACTCAAGGAAACAAACTCACAGCCAAGGACATATAAAAAGCACAATCAGAAAGGAAGCGTAGATCATATCAGGTTATCCCTGTTCGCAGCAGCCAGGACCTAACGTTTAGAGATAAGCAACCATTACCAAATACAATGTAATCAGATGAGCAGTTTGTGAAGTTGGGCAAGAGTTTGGGGCCATGGCTTACCTGCACATCCGGAGACCCCGTTGTTTGCTTCTGCCCTGTTGGACAGTCATCAATTGGCACCTCTTTATTGCCTTTTAAACACGGCTCAGGTTCTTTGCTTTCATTCTGCGAAAGTTCATTGAAGTGTAGTACCTGTGTAATAGGAGGATAGTCTTTCAGATAATGTGACCAATAGAAAGTCTGAATAGCATCAGAATCATTTTTGTAATGTGACTATGACCATGATTACATAATCAATAATCATTTAAAGAAATGGATGTTTTTTTTTCCTAGATTGTGAGGTAAAATAGAGAAGTAAATGAATGCTATCCCTCTCACAGTGCCTGCATTTAAAAATGAATATAAACTGGGTGTGGTGGAGCATGCCTGTAATCCCAGCACTCTGGAAATCTGAAGAAGGAGGGTCACAAGTTCCAGTGCAGCCTGGGCAACTTAGCAAAGGAGGGATGTTTGAGTGAACCTTGAAGACCAGCAGGGCTGCAGACAAAGCCACCAAGGCCAGGGTTCAGAAAGCAATACGACTTGCCTGAGCAGGATTAGCATCTGCCTCTGAGCATGCATGCAGGGCTCAGCCCCCAGGGACTCCTGCATGACCACGTACCTCATTGATCTGATGTGCGCTGTTACTTCTAGCCCCCAGGTGGATCATGCCAAAGGCAGCTGAAAGGCTCAGTGGAGAGAAAAAGATATTCTTATGATGGTCATCTTTGCTTATCTTGTGGAAAAAATCAAAGCAAAACTTGTTGTTTCCTACAACAATAGACTCCATTGTAGAACTCAAATGTCTAAAACCAGAAAAGAGGCAGAAAATGATGACTGGAAAAAAAACAGGCAAACAAACTATTCTTAATTTTAATAGCCAAGAGACAATTGTACACAATTATTAACTATGTTATTAAGAATTGGAAGAATACTATCATCATCAGATATACAAACATCGGTGTTAACATTGTATTGGTACAAATGGGGATCGATTTTGGTGTGAATTAGTTTCTTAGAGCTGCCACACAAATTACCACAAAACAGGTGGCTTGAAAACAAGACACACATCCAAAATCAAGGTGTCAGTAGAGCTGATATGTTCTAGAGGCTCTCAGGAAACATCTGTTTTATGTATCTGTCCCTGTTTTGGGTGGTTGCCAACTGTCTTTGACACTTCTTGGCTTATAGATACATCCCTGCCCCCATCTTCACATCCTTCCTCCCTATATCCTCTGTGTGGTGTGTATTTCCAAACTGCTCCCTTCTTTATAAATATCTGTCATTGAACCAGATAGATTTTGTAGGCATCTTTCCTAAACCAATATGATCTCATTTAGCTTTATATCTGCAGTGACCTTATTCACAGTTGCAGAAGTTAAGACTTAAACAGATCTTCTGAGGAGAAAACAGTTCCACTCACTTCATGATGGGACTTGCTTTGCTCAGGTAACATCAAGTCAAAGGCTGTTATTCCCACAATCAAGTTAAGAGCAAAGAAAATATCCTCCCTCCTCTTTCTCCTCCTCCACAGGTTATGCCTAATCCTGAGTCTTTTTCCTACTTTCTCCCCCAAGTGTTCTGTGAGTACAGATATGCCCAACAAGTTGTCATAGGTCATACGACAATGTAACCTGCAGAGTTCAAGGCACTTTAGTCAGTCGTTAATGTCCAAGATTTAATAGATCTTGGAAGATGTTGGAACAATAGGAGTCACTGGGTTGAATGATCTTTGACAGCACGGAACCACAGGTAATGCAGAACCAAAGAAGTGACCTCCCCAAACACTAATTCCTTCTTCCACCCCCAATTTACTCTAGAAGCCCCAAGAAAATATTATGTAGCTCTTACACTGGACCTAGGCCTCTGAGGTGAACTCTCCTTTCTTTTGTCTCTTTTATCATATATATTATGTATTTCCAAGATGAAAATGTAAACTCCTTTATTTGTGTTTTTACTATCAGTTAAGTGGCACACAGTAAGCATGAAATAATGGTCATTGTATTGAATCAAATGGTGTATGTTGGTTTCAACATTTTTCCAATTTATCGTAATCTTGGTAGCCTATAAAATCTAATTCACACCTAACATTTAAAAACTTTTTTAAAAAATTGTGCCTGAAACATGCCAAATATTTTACATAAAATAGGTTTAATCCTATAACTCTGAAAGGTAGATATTATTGCTCCCCTTTCACAAAGATAAAACAATGGTGAAATCACATATCTACTTGCTAAAAATCGTCTGTGTTGTATCAACTATTTCTTCTAACTTAGTATAAGGCTGATCACACTCAGGGTTAGTGCATATTGGTACTATACTTTCCCCTTTTCAGCTGACAGTCTATTTTTACCCTCACAATGTATGCCTAATTTGTGTTTTTCATTTTGTGCTTACTAAGCTAGATTTCAGACATAATTTACATCTGAAAACCAATTAAAAGCCTGAGTTGTATAACTGAGATTGATATTTGGTCAAAAGCTGCAGCATCAAACGGGGAGAAGGCAAGGGCTTTCTGGTTATTTGTTTACTACTGGAGGCAGAAAATATGGGAGGGAAACAGGCATTTGGATGATCCCAAGCAGGCCCTTTAAGCATTCCAGGTTAACTTCACCTCTGTTCCTCTCTGCAGATGCACCCCTAAGCCCCAGGGTGGAAGGGTATATCTTTTGGGCACAATAAATACGTGCAGAACTGAACAATCAGAAGGATCTCACCTACTTTACAAAGGACATGACTGCTCATGTAGGCCAACTCCCTTCTCAACATTAAAAAAACAAACAACAAAAATATCCTGAGGCCTGATAAAGAGACTCGCATACCATCACACATCTGACCAAGAGAGAAGCAGGACTGTCCTCTCTGTGCCCGGCCTGCTCGCTGCTGGAACGTCCTGCTTTTGTACTCATTTCTAATTCTGGCTAAACCTTACAGCAATATAATGATGCAATAAACATAAAAGAATGAACTGAATGAGACACAAGTTCTGCCTTTGAGAAATCCATGGCCTAACAAAGCAGATAAATGTTTAAAACTGGCAGAACTAATCTCTAGTTTTAGAAGTCAGGAGAGTGGCTATCCTTAGGGATGTATGGGGGAACTTTATTTAGCAATAGATAATAGCAGCAGTCCATAATGTCCAGTGTTTGTTGATTCTCGGAGGTGTAAATAACCCATTTATGGTCCATTTCAAATTGCTAAGATGTCACTACGCTAAGAATTGCAAAAAGATGAACAGGACTGCCCTTGTGGACTGGCTTGTGGACACCACAGGAAACGGGCATGGAGGCTGTCCAGGAAGCTGGTCATATTTTCTTTCTTGACCTGGGTGTCAGTTACACATTAAACTTACACTTATTTCTTCTGCACTTGCATATGCTAAATATAAAGTTGTGGTTCTATATATGTATACTATCAAAACTGTAATGAATATTTAAAGTTTTAAAAATTTATTACAGAAAAAGTCACATTGCAATGAATCCACCTCGTGATACTACGCCTCACTTCAAACACACTTATCCAATCATTCTTGATACTTTCTGAAGCAATTCTCCTTCACAAGTGTCTTCTCTGGTGCTGTCATGGTGGCTTCCATATTCTCAAAGGGTGTCAGACATTTACCATTTATGGTTATTTGCACTTTGGGAAGAACCAGAGGTTGCAGGGTGCCAGATCCAGTAAATAAGGTGAATGAGGATGACACATGGCAGCAGGAGTCATGAAAAATGACGTGCAGATCTGCTCCATAAAGTGGCAAGAACAATGGGATGTGCTCAAAGCAAGAAGGAGGATTTTGAGGGAGAGTAAGGGCGATGTGTCTTTTACTGAAATAGTTTCTTTAACAAAACAATTCACCATTTTGATCATGCCCCTATGTGTGTGTACGTGTATAAAGTTTAATTTTAAACTGTATTGAAAATGTTTTACTAAACATGGCAACTAATTTTAAGACATTGTGTTGGCATTAATACAACAAATAAAATACATAGAAGATTGAAAAAGAATATCTCACAATGTGAAAATAACACCTCACAATGAAATATAAGCTCCAGATGTAATTTGCACATGTTCCCCCAAGAATCAAAAAAAAAGTATAGTACTTTTCTTGTACTTTGGAAAACTTCCTCCATACTGCCCAAAGTCACTGTTTGGCTAGAAGTAATTCTAAAAGTAGTTGCTAATGCTGGATGCCTCTTAGTTAAGCTACAACTTGAAAAACTTGTACATGAGTACTTCTGTCAGCATTATTTTCAAATGGATTTGAAATAACCTTTTAAAATAGTTAGGTCTCCCAAATACAATCAGCTCAAAGAAATAGAACTATCCTCACCCGCAGCTACCTAAGAATAACAGTTATGCTATCATCTTATTATGAAGTTGTGTATCATTTTTATTGTTTTTTCTATTCTCTTTTAAAAAATTAATATATGCTGTACCCAGCATTTCACAAATATTGTCTGTCAATCTCAAAAAATCCTGTAAGTTAGAATTTCTCACCCAACCACTAAGAGACAAAGCTGGTGTGCAAATCAATCAACTCAGTCTGATTTCAAAACCACTCTCTTTCCTTCTACATCATGCTGGCCTCTGACCAGATAACCCATGTGCTGAAAAACCATGCCCTGAGTGACCCACCAGTCAGGTCTGTCACGTGACTCTACCCCCAACAGGTGCCTGTCTCATCTATGCCTCCTACTAAGGCCGCAGGTTACGTAAAGCCCTGTAGGGTGCAGCCCACAGAGTCCACCTCAGGACTTCCCCAGACTCCATTTCTGCCATGGGGTATCTCAGGACCCACTTTGTCCTCCTGAGACTCCCATGAATTTTCACTAGAAAATCCTTTCAAATTGCATTGAAATCTGTATAGATGTATCATAGATAAGGATTGAGTTTAAAGATTGCAATCTTGATACTGAGTTTGTGTGGCATGATTTCATTCTTACTGTCTCCAATATCACTTCCTACTAACTATAGCTATCTCTATGGGGAGGAGATAATGGTAGTTTTATTCAGGAAAAAAAGATAACAACACTTTTTTGTTGATACAAATATTGTCATATTTTTGTCTGTGATACTTTTCAAGCTAGTGACTGACAATTAACCACTCATGAATTACAAGAAGAATTTTCATTTTCAAATTATGGCAGAATAACCGTAGTGAGGTACTTTCTCTCAAAATATTGATAAGTTGGTTGCCTTTATTTTCCTGTGAATTCCAAACTTGCAGTTGTGTTGTGTATGTGTACATCATGTTCACTTGTTTATCATGTTCTAAAGGGTTTATCAGTGTTGATACTGTCTTTATATTTGTCTTTTTTGCTGTCTTTACAATTAGATTTGTATATCCAAATTTATAAACTAATATCCTGTTGGTGGGCATTTTCTTAGCTTCCCATTTTTACTATTAGGAATAATTCTAGAATGAACTCCATCATAAACATAGATTTTATTTTCTTTTATATTATTTCAGTAGGTTATTTTCTTCTGGGGGATTTTTCAATCAATATTATGAAGATCTTTAACCTTCATATTATCAATCCAAAATTACAGATAAAACAGATGCATCATAATTCCACTGTCTTCAGATAGAGCCACTGTCATTATTATATTTAAAACATGAAACAACACTGAGATTCCACCTCACCCCGGAAAGAATAGCTATCATCAAGAAATCCACCAATAACAAATGCTGCAGAGGCTGTACGGAGAAAGGAACCCTACTCCACTGCTGGTTGGAGTGTAGATTAGTGAAACCACTGTGGAAATCAATTTGGAGATTTGTCACAAAACTAGGATTGGAAGTCTCACTTAACCCAGCTATTCCCCTTCTGGGTATTTTCCCAGAAGAATAAAAACATCATACCACAGAGATGCATGTGCACCCATGTTTATAGCAGAACAATTTGTTATAGTTAAATCCTAGAAACGACCCAAATGCCCATCTACTGAGGAATGGTTAAAAAAAGATGTGGTATTTTTATACAAAGGAGTATTACTCAGCAATAAAAAAGATAATCTAGAAGCTTTTGTAGATAAATGGAGGCAACTAGAGACCATACTCATAAGTGAAATAAGTCGGACCTACATGTGTAAACATCATATTGTCTCCCTGATGTAGGAACCTGAAAGAATAAGTAAAACTCAAAGTGTACAATAAATGATAGGAAAGGGAAAAGAAATTGCTCAAAGGAAGGAATGACTGGGATGAAGGAAAGAAGAAAGGCTATATATATATAGCCTAACTGATGGCCTTTGAGACTCATATATATATATGGCTGTGATAACCGCACTGCTGAAGTCTGATGGTATATTGAAAGGAACAGTTAATGTTTATAACTTTTTATGTTCTGACCAATTTTGCACTCTTATATCTGGTAATCTGAGCAACTGATTTGAAGACAACAATATGCAATGGAACTACCATGATGAATTCCTGTCATCTTCTCCAGTGAAACTCCATATTATCTCTAGTGTTTTATCTAATAATCATCTTTTATTCTCTTTAATGGTTTGAACAATTTTCCATTCTTACATCTGGCAATCTGAGCAATGTAGTTGAAGATAACAATATGTAACATAACAACCGCTATTAATTCCTATCATTTTGCCTTCAAACCCTGTATCACTTTTAATGTTCTTTCTTTGTTTCATTTATGTTTGTGGTGTTGGTATGTGCTATTGTTCTTTTCTTTCTCATTCACTACTCTTTTTAAAATAAAAAAGGGAAGGTCTGGGGATATAGCTCAGTGGCATAAGCACCTGCCTGCAGTGTGCCGAGTCCTGAGTTTGATTCCCAGTACCAAAAATAAATAAAAACATAAAAAAAAGAAAAAAGGGAAAAAAAAGAAAAAATAATTTAAAACATGAAAAAACATTTTTGTCTTCTGTTGATACTTGCTAAGTCTTGAGCATTTGCCTATGTATTTTTTCTGTCTATAGATTCTCTTTATTGTCTCTTCACGTCCTTTTATCAGTTATCTAATGGAATCATAATGTATTGACTTGTTATTATGATTTATTCAAACTGCATACAATTATGTTTTTGATAAATACCTCAAATTATTTCCCTAACTTCTGTAACCTTCATTTTGTTGTTATTAAAGAATTACATTACTCTTATTTAAAATTGTCAATATTTTTGATGCTCTCTTCTATCTTCAAAAGTTTAAAGGAAAATTATTTTCTGTTTGTATTTTTTTGTGGCATTGGGAATTGAACCCAGGGCTGCTGTGCTTTGGGGTGGTATCCTCAGGCCCCTTTTTATCTTTTTCATTTTGAGGCAGGATCTCTCACTGAGTTACCCAGACAGAACTCAAACATGTGGTCCTCCTACCTCAACCTCAAAAGTAGCTGGGCTTACAAATCTGCACTACCACTGCACCTGTCAAGTATGTTGTTAGTAGGGAAGAAAATTCCTACTATCACTTATGCTGAAATTTTTTTAAAGTTTTTATGTCTCTACCATTTTGCTGTTGCTTGTTTGCTTATCCTGCAGTGCTAGAGATTACACCTACATAAGCCCTTGCTTCTGCTAGCAAGCACTCTCCCACTGAGCTACATGCCAGCACTTTTTGATAGCTTTTTTTGAAATTTTTTTACTTTAAAGAGAATAAGATAAGTTTTGATGACCTTTGAGACTCTAACACATGATCTGTTTTGCTTGTTTCCTTTCTCTCTGACGTTATTACTCGTGTAACACCCTCTCTGACTTTCCTCTGCTTTCCCCACCCAAAGCGCTAGTCACCACACTGTATGTGTAAGCACAATGTAGTTATATTTCTTATTTTCATAGACACTGTAAGGTATTTGGTTTTCATATTTCTGTTTTTACTTCCAAAATAATTCTTTTGCGAGTAGGTTCAATGTCCTTTTCATTTTCGTATCCAATAACTAAAAATACCAAGGCAGCACATAGGAGCATTTGATAAATACTTATGAATTTACTTGCTGTCATCTGCCCCTTTTTCACTGTAGATAATCTAATGTCTGAAATATTAGATGACACTTTTCAGACATTATACATTCTGCAGGCAGCTGTAATTAATGTATGTTACATAGTAGACTTAGTATTTGGTGAATGATTTACTTGATTAGAACTAGTTCACTTATTAAAGTATGGTTTCCTCCATAGCAAAATTAAAAGTTTAGACTAGATAGATATTCTATCAGCCCAAAATATTCTAAGTAAAATTGTTTTTTTTATATACTACAGAAAGAAAAAACTATACTCCAAAAAATATTTTTGCTCTTAATAATTTCTCTAATTTCCACAAAGCCACTGATAACCCAAGAATTAGATTCCAACTTTACACAGACAGGTACTACTTTGCTGAAATAAGTATCTAAAGCAAACTATAGAGAAGTAAATATTAAACAATATCTACAAAACAAAGAAATATTTGCAAAAGATGCAGGCAAAAGTGTTTTCCAATTTATAGCACAAAAGAAGCATCTAAACTCATTCTGTTTAAGGTATAGATATTCTAAATTGCCTGTCCTTTGATATTTCAGAAAAAACTCACTCAAAGATAAAATACAATCTCAAGTCTGTGAAAGTAAAACGAGTTCAACACCCAACTCTTTAAAAAAAAATCAGTCTGATACATCGGACATCTGACCAGGTGTTCAGGAACTCAGGGAAGCAACAGACATCATACACATCTTCTAGTGAGTATTGCCATGTCTGCAGAAAACCCACAGCACTGGAAAAAATTGCTCTCTTTTTAAAGGAATTTAACTTCATAGAAATAGCACATCCTTCAGTCTCAACCGCATCTCCTGGGGATTCCTATTATTTAAAATAATCTTCCAATACAGTGTTTATCATTTAAAAAGTATACTAGGCAATGCAAGCATTTACCTTCTTGCCTTCAGAGTTGCTGCTGACAGCTGGCCAGGTAAGTTTCAATCCACACCCTGTCAGGAATGGAAATATAATCAACATCGCCCCTCCCACAGGGGCACTGTTCCAAGGGCCCTTTTGGAATCCTGGGTAAAATTGTCACTGATTGATTAAAGGGAAAGGAAAAGGATGGCAAGTACTTTTTAAAACAAATTTGCAGTCTTCCTGCTTTCAACTGAATTGTATATTTCACTTAACATGTGTATATGTTTTCTGCATTTACCAATTGTGTCTTTTTATAGAACACTCAACATAATAGTTAACCCACGTATTTCCTCCCCAGTCTCTATTCTAGATAAAAGAGGAGCAGAGATCTGATTTATTTCACATACGTATTGCCCTGGGCAATCTCTTGTATTTGAACTTACGTTATTCTAAATATTTTTAACTTATCACACTGGACTTTAAAATGTGCTTTAATCTCCTTTGAAAGTTTTTTTTTCTTTTTCCTTGCAGCAATGCTAGAGTTGGGGAGGGGATTATCTGATTTTTCTAAATTCTTGTCTGATGATAACATTATCTGAACAGCAACAGGGATATATTAGATATAGGAAAATTCAAAAGAAAAGCTTTTTAAAAGGATATTGTCTTTATGAAGACTATAAGGTATATAGGCAGCTACTGCAGAAATGAAATAAGTAAAAGCTATTTCTGTAAGAAAAGATATAAAGCAATAGAAAGTAGTGGCTAAACATTAAAAGATTTTCCAAAATCTCAGTAATAAGCCAAAAAGAACTCCAATATGCTGTTAATTTTCTTCACTCTACTGTCACTTGAGAGTGATTGTGTATTTGCTCTAAATGCTTCCACAAAATTCTATAAACAGCCTAGTCACTGGTTATGATTTCCAAGAGATTGGTATATTTTATCAGTTAATATCTGATGCCAACTGGTTATTAACTAGTTGATGCAGTTGCTCCTCATCACAGTTTTTTAAAAAGAGTATTATTTATGATTAAAATATGATTTTTTTTTTTTTTTTGCCCAGACCCTTGGATTTGTAATTATCATGTTTGTTATTACTTGCTGTTGGTGTATACATTGCATCGGGCTTCTCGGTACCTGAGCAGCTTTAAAGCTGGTATAATTATCTTTAATCTAAGATTGCATCTGTTTATCTTTTTAAATAAGCCAACAAAGACTTGACAACAGATGACTGTGCCCTACAAGCCTAAAAATTTGGTGTGGTGTAATTGCTCAATCCGTGATGATGCAATTTGCCACTAAATGTAACTAGACATTAAGAAAACTTAATAAATCACTGAACAGGGTATGAGAACTTATTGAGCACTGACTGCAGCATACGCCAAGCAAACTCGGCACTTTTCACGCACGATCTCATCTCAGGGACTGAAGAAAGTCAGTCTCTCTAATTCCAATGATGTCAAGCATCAGAGAACTACACTAGAACCTGAAGGAACTTTGGAGGTCAGCTAGTCTGACTGTTACTCAAGGCAAGCTAAAATAAATTTCTCTTCATCAATAGACCGTAAAATTAGTATCTGTTTCATCAAGTGTAGGGTTAGATAATTCCTTCTAGATATGTTACAATTGATAAGGAATTATGAGCTAATCCAGTAACCTTTTAATTACTAGTCTTTTTATGCCTGGTATTAAAACTTCAGGGATGACAGTATGATTCATCCTTCAAAGTCTTTGCCAACATTTGCTGTAAAACAATGAGATTAAAATTCTCCCACTGTTAAAAACGATATTTTTAAAATATTGTAAGAATCTTTTGCATCTAATTTTTACATCCCAATCCTGAGGAAATAAAATGTGTTTACAGAAAAAGTATTAGCATACTTTCTGTCTAATTAAAACACATCTTTTATCTGAAGCTCATGGTTTACATGACGTTCATAAATTTATTTTCCAAATTTAAAAGCATGATACCATACAAAAGTCAAAGAGAAAAAAATTTCATTATAACCACAAATAACAGCAACCATGAAGACTAAAACACAACAAACTTCCCTCAGAACTCGTGTTTGTCCTGAAGCTATCTCATACTGCCTTTCTCCTAAGAGCCCTCCATTCCTTCAGATTCAAACTAAATCTTCAAAATTGGAAATAATGCCACCTGCCTGCTCCAGTATGGCAGAGACATGGAGATCAGAGACAAGCAGAGCCATGAGAGGGCAGAGGAGACAGGACAGGAAGGGTAGGACGTGAGTACCCGAGGACCGGAACCCGTCTGAATCTTACTAGACCACAACTGTGAGCAAATTCCTCTTCAACTTCAACAGTCTCACCTATTAAACCTAGAAATAATAATATAATTTTCCATGCTCTGTATTGTACAGTTGTTCCTGTCATTAAAATAATTACACAGAATTAGTACTGCGTGAACTTTTACTTCCTAGCCAAGTCTTTATGACATATATTTGCTTCTTTCCAAAACTGTAAATGAGGGCTTCATACTTCAAAAACTGCTGCCCTTAGGCTAAATTCACCCCATTGCCTGTTTTTGTACATTAAATTTTATTGAAAAGAAGCACAACCATTCATTTACTGTCTGTGGCTGCAGAATACTTGTGGGGAAAATAACATGTGGCCTGCAAAGCCAAAAATACTTATTATTAACCCCTTTCCTGAAAAGTTTGCTGATCCCTAATTTAAATGATAGAACATCATAACTATTAAAAGCCTGTAAAGTTGTTATATCCTTAAGTACATATCAATTCCTTGCATAGAACAAATATGTGATATACTGATAAGAAATAGTTTTTTTTAATTAAAAAGATGTTTTGGCTTGGTTTTAACCATGGGCAATTCTAAGCCTCATTAGTGATATAATAAAGTAACAGCTCAGACATTAAAGCACAGACATTAAAGTGCCTACTGTGTGCCAGGTGCCGGATAACCCATGATAAGCATGTCCTTGTCTCTGTGCTCATGATATATAATGCAGTAGGGGTTTACAATCCAGACTGCATCATTTGCATTTAGATATCGTAAACATATTGAGGACCAAATATGTAGCTGGCCCATCCATACCTATTATCTTATTTACTCCTTCCAATAAGTCCAAGAGAGAAATGTTACTATCCCAATACGGCTAATGAGAAAACTAGGACTCAAAAAATCCACTTGCTGTCAGTCTTGATGATAGAAAATAGAACGATCCATAACCTGAGCACCTCCCTTGCTCCTTGATCCCAAGAATAAAGAGGAGCAACACACACAGCTTCAATCCCAGGACAGCTGGCCCCCAAAGGCATCACTCCCACCACAGTGTGTCCGTCTCTCAGCACATACCTGGCTGCCAGTGAAGATGCTCCCCAGCTGAGGGCTGTGCACGGATGGAGTCAACTCAACAGCGCATAAAGGTGGGAAGAGCCACGTACTACAGCCTGTGGAGACTAGTATGGAGAGGTATTGAGCAAGCAATTCCATGACTTTTAAATAATGATCATGAATCAAAATCTTTTCAAGCCATTATGCTGCCTGCTTATTTGCAGAAAGCCACAGATCAGGGGCTAAGACCTTTATTACATAGCTGCTTCAAAGACCTGAGCTTCATATTTCTGTTCTTTTCTCCCCAAACGACTTACAGAGCACTTTGAGCACCATGCTACACCAGGAGTTTGTAATATATAAACAAAATCCACAAAATCCAAGAAGAATGCTTCATAACCTGTCCCAATATGCCTCCACCAATCACTGAAGAGGGACAAAACTGGACAGTTTGGAGCTAAATGTAATTTACACTTTTCAGACACCTGTATTTCCTAACTCATTTTATCAGTGCTTCTGTCCTATTCAGTCATAACTAAAACGCCATAACTGTTCAGAACAATTCCTTACACTTCCTCACTAGCTAACACTTTTACCTCTGGCACCTCAGACAGAACCTGACAAACAAAAATCTCTCCCCTCCTCCCTCTTCTCCCTGGTCTCATCTCCCATCTCTGTCTTTCTCAGGTTTCTTCCCTGTCCTTCTGCCCAGCCCGCCATATTTTCCCAGTTGCTCTCTTTCGGTCCTTCAGTCCCTCCCTCTTTTGTGTCCTTCAGTAAAACTTTCCTGTGGAATTCATTCACCTACAGAATGCAACAGATATTAAAAAATAATAGAACATTGGCTCATGTTCAAAACATGGTTCATGATTGTTAAAGAAGATGATTCAACATTGGAGGACTTTCAAGGCATTAGAGGCCATTCAGACCAATTTTCAGTCCTGCAGGAAAGCTCTGCCATTGTAGTTCCTCCAGTTCTACGAAACCCATCCCAACCCATGGCTAAATGAGGATTGTCACTTGGGGAGTATGTACAGACTGTAGTTATCTCAAGAATTCTGAACATATTCTACTACATGAGGAAATTCTATGTGTCTGTTAGGATCTTAAAGTTGTGAATGCCTAGGGGTTGGGGATTTAGCTCAGCGGCAAAAACGCCTGCCTGGCAAGTGCAAGGTCGTGAGTTCGGTTCCCGGTACCGGAGAAAAACAAAACAAAACAAAAAAAAAAAGTTGTGAATGTCTAACCTGTAAACCTCTTTCAAGAGATTCTAAAAGAATTACAGTAAGTATGACTTTCATGTGAGAAATTAAGTTCCCATGAACCAGATTCAACCCACAAAATAATAACATAACTGAAAATATCACCAAAAAAAACTGAAAGTTTCTAATGGGGGAGATGATAGAAATATTTAAGGTAGTATAGGTAGTATGAATGAATTTTAAATAGTACATGTCATTTGAGAAAATTTTAGATATGGAAAAATAAAGAAAAATAATGCTAATTCATAAGTTGATTAAAATCTATTATTTCCTCCTTTGAATGTGTTTTGTATATATTGAGCTCATACTATATTTATAGTCTTATGCACTTTTTTGTTATTTAATACTTAAACCTAAATATTTGTCCATATTTTAAATTTTTATTCATAAGAATTATTTCTAACGACTATCTGGATGTGCCATAAATTAGTCATCCATCCATTCCCTCATGAAACATTTAGGTGGTTTTTCCATAAATAGTGATATTTAAAATCTTTGTTTTTAATTTTTTAGCTAAATTTCAAGTGCTTTCTCAGCAAACATACCTAGATGCTCAATTACTGGACAGATGGACAATTTTAAGTGTGAATTTATTATCTTGCAATGTGCTCCCAAGAAATCCCACCAGTCAAACACAGACAGTCTGCTTTTCCACTGTCATCTTTGCCATCAGTGTTTCCCTGCTAAAACCTGGTAACCAACCTTCTCCCTCCTAAGGGAGGTCCTTGGGAGGAATGAAGAAGATCAACAGTCTTTATGACTCCTCTTACATAAATCATTGCCCTGTGTAAATACACAAGAGACTATTTAGATATTCTCCCATTCTTTCAGGTCAGGTTTTGAACATCCTTCACACTAGTCTGTCACCATGGGGTGGGGACAGGGTGTAACCACCTAATTTTCTAAGTATTCTTAAGGGAACACTAAAGACAAGTTGGAACCTCCCTGTGACTCTTTAACTTGATTGCAATTTTCTGTGTCCATGTATTGAGTTTTCTCCAGGGACACCAGCAATGACTTCTACAGGAATGCCTTTCAAACACTTAGGGAGAAGACAAGCCTAAAAAATGTAATTTAACTGGTTATATTAGTACATAAAATGGAGCTTAAGAAGAAATAGTGCACATGTAGGTGATCCATGTGGAAGTAGACAGGAGAAAAGACCCCCGTACTCCCTAAAAGATACTATTAATTTTTTTTCACCACTGCCCCAAAAGCCTTGCAGTCAAGCAGGGTACATCAGGTGCCCCGTAGCTGCTCCAGGAGATAACTGCATAAGCAAGATTTGGATGAGACCTTTCCCAGATGACTCTGCCCTGGAATTTGACTCTTTTGCAGCCTTCCTCAATTAGCTGCACAAGGATCCCCCAGGACCAAACAGGAAGTCTGACACTGACCATGCTTGAGCTGCCTTTTTTCCTGTCTCTTTTCCCATAGCCTTAGCAGGTTCAGTCCAGGTGCTGGTTTCCCTTATGTTGCAGAATAAGTCCTAATAAAGCCTGGAGGGAGCATAATTTTGCCTGTTCATGATTTCTATCTCAAATACAGCATGATGATGTGATATACTAAGACCTGGTAATGCCAGTGGCCACTGGCACCAAAAGTTGCCTACAGTGGAGGCTGGTAATATAGTAGTCAGCTACAGCAGAGAATTATGGGAAGCAGTATTTGCCAAGAGCTGCCATCTCCAGTGGCTCAAGGAGTTCCTAAGATCTACCTGTAGCCACTTGCTTCAACTGGTAAAAAGGGCCACTAACACTAAAACTTCTGCCAAATATAGGCATTCAAAGTCCAGGACCGTAACATTAAGAGAATTGCACTCTGCTGATTTGTGATTTCTATACAAAGTAAGAACACTCAGCAACTTGGTAGCATCATGAAGGCTTACACAGGGACTCTCCCCTTTTATAGGATCCTGGAGAATAGAGCAGATAGTGACAGTGGTCAGAAAGCTCAAGAATCAGTCGTATTTGACTTCTACCTTACCTGAAGCTAAGAACCCACACTAGACAGTGACAAGGTTAACTTGAATGATGCCTATTTGGTCCTCCTTTCCACTCTGAGGATTTCTGAGAGAACTACCACCCCACAACTCCTCTCTCAGGGATCTTGGAGACTGTAACCCATCAGAGACCATCCCCAGACAGCAGTATGACCACCCAAATGTAAAGACTGGATTTTGCTGGCCTTCTAATTGAAAATGCAGGGAGCAATGTACCCAGTGGAAGAAAAAGGCAGAGAAGGCAGACATTAGTTCCTTGATACAGGCCCAGGCATGAAAGCAGAACACTTCGTGCTGACCTCTATTCCCCACCTTCTAGAACCTTCTTTTCCCTTCTTCTTGAAATAATAGTAATAAAACTACTGTGACATGTTGTGCTTCCCAGTGCTTATTCAGAAGCCTAAAAATTTTGTGCATACTTTTTTCTATCTTTTTCTATAGACTATTTTTAGAGAACATTGTAAGGTGCTGAAAAATTGAACAGGAATACAAAGAGCATATTTCTTTTTTTCACATCCCTTTTCTGCTTTGACTGAGTCTTTGGAAAGACCTTAGCTATGGCTGCTGGTGAGACTCACTGGAGCCACTGAGAAGGTCCATGGTCATAAACAAATAATGCTAGGAGGGAAGAAATATTTCTAGTGGCTGAGGAGGCTTGCTTTTCTTCTTTGCATAGAGGGAATAGGGGTGAAATTTCAGAATTTATATATTGACCAACAAAGAGAGAAATTTCGAAGAGAATTTATTTCTCTGATATGTAATGAAAAAGAATGAATACATAACTGTGTGTCAAGTCAGATTTGATTCATTTTATTTGTCTCAAATGAATTTCATTTCAGACAGTATGAAACTCAAAGACAATATCCAGTACATCTCTAAGAACATAGAAAATAGGTGATTATGCAAGTGCATGTATCATTTCAGTCTGATAATTATCTTCAGTTCTGACAGACTCACTAATCATGTGCTCATTAAACCTCTTTCTTCATTAGAACTTACTGACCCTTTTGGTTTTTTCAAACCAGAGAATAAAGTAAAGGCGCAAAGTAGGTACTCAAAACCTGTTACCTCCAAATGTGATGCTACTAGTAAAGAGAATCTAACAGTGGAATTTAGAACTGCAAAGAAAAATAAGGGTACAAATAAATCTGGTGGCAAAGGGGTCAGCTGAGACTACATGCTTATTTTGTCCCTAGTGATACAATGACTCCTTCGGTTTGTTGCCTTGCCAAAACCAAGGTGCTTTTGTTCTCTGTTCAATAATTGAAGAAATCTGATCATAAAAACAGTGACGTTCATTTATCCAGATTTGTTTGTGGTAAATTCTTGGTTATTCAGTGACCCATGATTTTCTTTTCCAAAGGCAAAGAAATGATCTTAGAATCTTTCTGTGAATCTGTGAATCTATCCTGTGAATGTTTGTCAGCCTCATTCTTCTGTCGTTTATTGAAGCTTTACTTTGTTCTGGAAATTTTCTTATAGTTTTGTGAATCACTCGCTTTGGGTTACAGAAGCTGACTTTTGTCTGTTGTTTACAGTGCTCTAAAATCTAAGCTGACCACCAAGTTCTTTCTACCATACATGCTTCTTGTGTTCTTTTCCTTTTCATGAGGTGCCTTGGTTATTGTGGAGTCAGACAGTATTTTTAATCCTGTTGAGCTATAACACTTTGTAATATCGCACAGCAAAGGATAAAATTTATTTGTAGTTTTTCAGATACACATGAGAAAGTGTGTTGACTTACATCCCTATGCCTTACCTGGGATCAATTACATTTTTTCTGAGAA